GGACATGGAAAATCATGCTCATCATCCTCTATATTATTCTTGGGGACAATATCTGTGATCTGTTCTATTTTAACTTTTACTCATGAAAAATGGAAACCTACTTTTCATTTCTCATCATTTTCGGATGCTATTCAGAAATTCCATGTGACTATTGAAATGTGGTCGACAAAATGGGATCCCATTTACTCGATCTTTGTAGAGATGGTAGCTTTTGGAAGACGGAAACAATAGGAAAAATTAAACAGGAAGTGACAGTTTTAACTGTCTACATTTTTTGAACTTCTGGATCATAAAAATTAATAAAGCTAGTTGGGAAAGTATAAGGGGGCTTCAAAAAATTCATGGAAAATAGAATTAAAAAGATATGTTTATCTTGGTGATTTGAAATTCATGCATAGTTTTTTTCATTTTATACATTTCCTTCAACTTTTTGAATCCCCTCATATTTGCATCATATATAATAGTTAAAAATTCATATATATGTGTTTTAGCTAAAGAATTCACTCATAATAAAGTTAACTGAAAATAAATTTTTATAAAAAATAAGAATGGGAATAGGAGAGGGAGAAAGAAGAATGCTAGGAGTTCAGACAGGAGGAAGAGTAGGGTGGGAAGTATCACTATGTTCCTAAATTTGCATATGTAAAATGTATGAAGTCTGTATACCTTAAATAAAAGGTTTCTAGGTTAAAAAAAAAAGTAACTCAAGTTAAATAAAAAGTTCCATGGTGGGAGGGATGGGGACATAAAGTGAACAAATGTTTTGGCATTAAAAAAATTCTCTCACATGTATAATAATGTGCTTATATAACTTCAAATTTTTAATGAATACTTTTGTAAAAAAGAAAGTTACTTTTAATTAAAGCAATATTTTTGAGTAAGACCAAGACTTTAGTAGACACATGAATGGAGAATACGGTTTTGGGTCAACACTCACTTTTCTTCAAAAACTAGTTGGTCTATCATGTCTTAGCAGAATCCAGCAAACCCTTGGGAAAGTAGACTCTCCTTCCAGCCTTCTGCCTCTGTATTCCACAACATACTGCACTGTGCCTATTCTGGTGCTCATTACATCATTCAGAATTATTTTTACAACTCTCTTCTCCACTAGAAATGACCACCTGAGATTTGTTCCATTGTTCCTCCATTGTCCACCATGGCACCTGACACATATAGTAGGTACTCTCACATTGCTTACGTAATAAATTAACTCATCAGTTCATGTTAAATTATGGCAGGATCTCCCTCCTTAAAATCAAAAATAACTCCCATGATGCAATGCTATCTTGTTCAAGAAGACTTTAGTACACTAATAGACATGTATCTCTATTTTTTAAAAATTAAAAAATATACACTTAAAATATATTAAATATAGGAATTCTCCTAAAAGCTGTGTGATGCCAGAAAGAATGAGGGGCTTTCAAAAAACAAAATCTGACAAAACTATTCTAAAGTTCATCTAGAAAAACAAACAGCCAGAAAAAAATCTGCAGGTAAGAGGGGATAAAGGGAAATAGCCCTATCAAATATTTGCAGATTTCATTACATTACAGTAATTACCACGTCGTGGTCAGTGTGAAGGGAGAAAATTCTATTGAATAAACAGAACCAACAACTCAGACATGAACAAAAGTACATATGAAAATTGTTTTATTTTTAAAAATTAATTTTTTAAATTTATTTGAGAGACAGAGAGTTCTCACGTGGTAGTTCACTTGCCAATTGCCCATAAGAGCAGGGGCTGTGCCAGGACCAGAGCCAGGAGTTGGAAACAAAATCCAGGTGTCCCACATGGTGGCAGGAACCCAATTATCTGAGCCGTCACCACTGCCTTCTGAGACTTGCTTTCTCGGGAAGCTGGAGGCAGGAAGCCGAGCCAGGCATTGAACCCAGGCACGCAGCGTGGGCTAAGGGCAGCTTAACCACTGTACTAAACTTCTGTCCAGAGCATTATTTTAGAATAAAGCGACTCTCTTAAATAATGGTGAAAAGCTGACTTTTCCCCTACCTTTTCCATACTTCATTAATAAAGTATGTTGTAAAAGATGGAAGCCATTTAACAAAGGTCACCTGGATTGCTATATTACTTCATTCAATCAAAGGACATTCAATAGCTTGAACTATGCCATATCAGCAACTGCCCTACAAGAAAACAAGAATACATTTATTAAAAAAGCTTCAATGGAGAAGGCTACACTAAATATGACATGGAATTGAGAATCCAGTAATAAAAAAGTTGGTTATTTAAATTATTTTTAAATCCTGAAATTTGTATGCAGCAAAAAAAAAAAAAAAAAAGGCCACAAAGCAAGCAGTAAACCCTTCATCCACAAAATGGAAAGGAATAGAGAAAGTCTGCAAGATGCGATACACAAAGGACTAACGTCTTCAATATGCAAAGAGTACAGAACATGCATGGGAGAAGACCAATAATGGCCCAATAGAAAGATAGGCAAGGGGCCGGCTCTGTGGTGTAGTGGGTAAAGCCTCCACCTGCAGTGCCAGCAACCCATGTGGGTGCCGGTTCGATTCCTGGATGTTCCATTTCAGATCCAGCTTCCTGCTATGGCCTGGGAAAGCAGTAGAAGATGGCCCAAGTCCTTGGGCCCCTGCACCAGCGTGGGAGATCTGGAAGAAGCTCCTGGCTTCAGATTGGCACAGCTCCGGCCGTTGTGGCCACTTGGGGAGTGAACTAGCAGATGGAAGACCTCTCCCTCTCTGCCTCTCCTTTTCTGTGTAACTCTGACTTTCAAGTAAAAGAAATAAATCTTTTAAAAAAAAAGATAGGCAAAGAATATGAACACCAAATTCCTAAAAGAGCAATAAACGGCTGGCAAATCTATAAAAAAGATAATAAAACAGTATCAAAACAATGATACTACTTATCAGATTAGCAAATGGTATTTCAAAAATATTAATGACATTCAGTGTGGGCCACGGAGATGGGAAATGGATACTCTACACTGTTGGCAGAGGGTAAAAAAATGCGGGAAGTCTTTGGCAGTAGTGAAAAATTGAAGCAGGGAGCTCATTTGATCCTGTCCTGATGTGAGGACACAGCTAGAAAGTGCCACATAGGAACCAGAGCCACACGCTGACCGCTGCCTTCATCTTGGGCTCCCCGGCCTTCAGAACTGTGAGAGAGAAATGCCTGTGGTCTGTAAGTCAGTCTGCGCATGGTAGCGGCTTGAATGGACTATGCAGGTCAAACAGAGCAAGCAAGAATAGCTGCACGTGGGAAAGTGTCTTTATATCATTAATAGGAAAAAATGGCAAGTTGAGAACAGGGGTGTGAGCCCATTTGTACACAAGTACATACCCGCTTTGCATGTGCTTGTGCAAAACTCCTCTGGAAGGCTACATAACTTAGTATTAGAGTAAATGTAGAATTTATTCCAGAAACGAGATTGAAAGGAGAAAGATATGAGAGATTTTTACCTTTTCCTTTATACTCTACTTTTGATTTTCATGAGAACGTAGTATTTTTGTAATTAAATTTAAAAACATTGTAAAATAGTGCTTATATGTATATACTTAAAAAAGAAAACCCTTTTTAGGAGCTTTTATTTAGGAATCTACTTTATCCAAAAGACAGAGGGAGAGAAACAACATTTCCATCTGCTGCTTCATTCCCCAATTGCCCGTTATGGCCGGGGCTGAACCAGGCCAAAACCATGAACTAGGAACTCAGTCCAGGTCTCCCATGTGGTGACAGGGATCCAAGTATTTGTGCCATCACCTGCTGTCTCCCAGGGGGCTCATTAGCAGGAAGCTGGATTTGGGATCAAATTTGAGACTTGAACCAGGCCCTCTGATATGGGATTTCGATGTCCCAAGCAACGTCTTTTTTTTTTTTTTTTTTTTTGACAGGCAGTGTGGACAGTGAGAGAGAGACAGAGAGAAATGTCTTCCACTTTCTGTTGGTTCAACCCCCAGTGACTGCTGTGGCCAGCCCGCTGCGGCCGGTGTGCTGCGCTGATCTGAAGCCAGGAGCCAGGTGCCTCTCCTGGTCTCCCACGCGGGTGCAGGGCCCAAGGGCTTGAGCCATCCTCCACTGCACTCCCGGGCCACAGCAGAGAGCTGGACAGGAAGAGGAGCGACTGGGACTAGAACCAAACAGAGTCTTAACCACTCTGCCAAATGCCTGCCCCTAGAAGCCAACCTCTTTGACAGACAGTTTGGCAATCCATAATGAGTCCAGGGCTAAGCGTGGAGTGAGGGTATGGAGGCACTTGCTTTGGGCACAGAATTTAAAGGCGCTTCAAACAATTCTGTAATAAAGATACATGGTATGTGTTTCTTATTGTCTTTGATTTTTTTAAGAGCAGTTTTAGTTCCTAGCAAAACTGTTGAAGGTAAGGAGATCTCCCTATGTGTCTCCACACACATAGCCTCTCCTATTGCCAACATCCCCATCAGATCTGAACCCACGTGGACGCACCATTATCACCAAAGTCCACAGCTCACACCAGCATTCACCCTTGGTGCTGTCCATGCTATCATATGAATAAACTACAATGACATGCATCCATCCGTATAGCCTTGTGCAGAGTAGAAGCTGCTGCCAGTAGAATGGCTTATCTTTAGGAACAGGAAGACCTGAATGGAGAGATTTCTAGAACCTGAGAGATAACCTTTCATGGTGTATGCTGCAGTCATACACCATGAGCCTGTTTCTCCCTGGTTTGAAAGTTGTGCTAGCTACTCCTGGGAGACACCTTTTAATTGCATTGCCCATTGAAGAGAAGCCTTTTTTCCTATGTGCTCAACATTTTTGTGTCTTAATGTTTCATCACAACATAATCTTTTGGAAGACATTTTTAGCAACAATTCAAGATTGGATATTTAGTCAAAATTTTGTCACCGATGCAGATAATTCATTGCAGTGAGGAAAAGGTAAGTATATACCTATGTGCTTTGCTCAAACACTTCTTTTTTTTTTAAAGAAACTCAAAGTTACACAGAGAGAGAAAGAGAGGCAGAGAGAGAGAGAGAGAGAGGTCTTCCATCCACTGGTTCACTCCCCAGATGACCGCAACAGCTGGAGCTGCGCCAATCCGAAGCCAGGAGCCAGGAGCTTCTGCCAGGTCTCCCACGTGGGTGCAGGGGCCCAAGGACTTGGACCATCCTCCACTGCCTTCCTAAGCCACAGCAGAGAGCTGGATCAGAAGTGGAGCAGCTGGGTCTTGAACCGGCACCCATATGGGATGCAAGCACTGCATGTGGCGGCTTTACCGGCTACGCCACAGCTCCGGCCCCTCAAACACTTTTCAATTCCAGCTATATCAAAACGTAAGGAATGCTTGCCTTCACAATCGCGGCGGCAAGATGGCTCTTATAGTTTGTTTCCTTCGCAAGACGTAAGTGCCTCTGTTCTGCCATTGGTTCTGCATCTCTGTGTTCCCAGAGTCCACCACGGTGCTTGATGTGGCGTATGTGCTTAACAAATTCTGGGCCGTATCTATTGAATGCAGATTGCTTCTGTACCATCAGAGAGTAGAAAAACTGTCAGCTGGACCATGGAAAGTGAGGGGCCATCTGCGTATGATTCTCAGTCAATCCTGAGCTGCTGTGTAAGGAGACTCCCCTGAGGCCACCACGAGGGAAAAACACGACCGTGGACAGTCCCAGCAGAGCCGCCACCTGTGGTAAGTCTGCCTGGACTCCTGGTCCACCCAGCCTCGTGTCAATACTGCCTGGTGACCTTAGCTCTTGCTACACGGAGTCCGTTGACTGACCCCTGCCTAAATTCCATAAGCACGAAAGCATGAGATGCAGCAAACTGGTTTCTGATCTACGTTCATACACTTGGGGGACAATTTTTCTGTAGAGCAAGGATAACCACAACACTCTCTGGCCCCCAACTTTTCATGCCTCTCTCTTTTTGAAGAGTCTCTGGGGAAATTTGTTATTCAAAAAAAAAAAAAAGTGTCCATGTTGTTTCACTGCAATGAGGTAGCTTTGAGCGTATGGGTCTCAGTGTGTTCTTCCTTGTTCCATGAATTGTGATGGATGCACTTTGTTGCCCATTTGGAAAAGTGTTTTTCTCGAATTGTCTGTGAATCTGTTTCCATATCTCTTACAGGAAATAACTCACAAAGAAGAGAGGGAACTAGCAACAAACATACTACAGGACATCTGCGAAATGGCGGCTGTAGATTGTCTGCAGATCCAGACAGGTATTCCTAGGAAAATGGGGGAAGTTTGTGATTCCGGATGGTAAACAGTGGTAACACCATCTTTGGCTCATATGATGAATTAAATAAACCAATATGTCATGATATTATTCAAACGAACTTGTAACTGGGGCTTAGGGCCAGACCCACTGTCAACCCAGAGACTCTTCAAATAGGAAGGCATGACAAGTTGGGGGCTGGGGAGTGTGGTGGTTACCCTTGCTATACAGAAAAATGGTCGCCCAAGCTGATTGACTTTGCACAGAAACCATTTTCTAATATCTCATGCGTCTGTGCTTGAGGAATTTAGGCAGGGGCCAGTAGGTGAGCTCCAACGTGGCATTAGCTAAGATCGCCGGGCAGTATTGACAGGGAGGCTGGGTGGACCAGGAGGGTCCAAGACAGCTTTCTCACATGTGGTGGCCCTGCTGGGACTGTCCACTGGAAGGCTTTTCCGTCGTGGGGGCCTCAGGGTAATTAGTTCCTTACACAGCATCTCAGTATTGCACAGGTCTATAGGACCCAAACTCCGAATCACACACACAGACGGTTCACATGGCAGTTTTTCAAGTTTACTATGGTACAAAGACAATCCTCATCCAGTAGAAACAGCACTTAGGCTTTTAATCTTTTCCTGGGTTATTGACATGTGCTATGATCCTCTCTTAAAATGGTGGACAGCTCCTGGTCAGTCACAGGGTCACGTGGAAAAACAACGGATACTCAACAGTGTGCCATGTCACTCGGTAAAGATGTCTCATAAATTAGGTGTGTTAGGGCATTTTCAGCTTACCACAAGCTTATTGATATGTAATCCCACTATAAGTTTTTTTTAAACATTTATTTATTTATTTGAAAGTCAGAGTTATACAGAGAGAGAAGGAGAGGCAGAGAGAGAGAGAGAGAGAGGGAGAGAGAGAGAGAGGTCTTCCATCTGCTGGTTCACTCTCCAATTGGCCAAAACAGCCAGAGCTGTGCCTATCTGAAGCCAGGAGCTTCTTCTGGGTCTAAGGACTTGGGCCATCCTCTACTGCTTTCCCAGGCCACAGCAGAGAGCTGCATCAGAAGTAGAGCAGCTGGGTCTCGAACCAGCGCCCATATGGGATGCCAGCACTGCAGGCTGCAGCTTTACCCACTACGCCACAGCACCAGCCCCTGCCATTCTCTAAGATTATTTGGGCCCAGATTCCAGAGTTGGAGACAGAGACCCTACACCTGGAAGGTAAGCCTGTCAAAGAACTGGCAGCTTTGATTTAAAGCCTGTGGAAGCAGAAGAATCTAATGGGAAGTCAAATTATAGGGGAAAGGACAGTGTGCCCATCAAACCATGGTTGAGGTTGCAATTGGGAGAATGAGAAATAGAATCTAAGTGGCAAGAGTCTGAAACTAAGTGACAGGAGGAGCTGCTGGCGTCAACTGTGAGCTGTAGGAAGTGAGATGTGGGAGTAGAGAGAGGCTGGCGGCTTCCCTTAATGAGGGAGCCGCGTGATAGGGGTGATATTGCTATCAAAGGAGTTCAGGCGGCTGGACAGACACTTTTTGAAAATTTTAAAGATTTATTTATTCATCTGAAATACAGAGTAAGAGAAAAAGAAGGAGAGATTTTTCTGTACACTGACTCGCTCCCCAACTGGCCCCAACAACCAGGCTGTGCCAAGTGAAGCCTGGAGCCAGGAACTCCATCCAGGTCTCTCACATGGATGGCAGAACCGAGGTACTTGGGCCATCTTCTGCTGCTTTCCCTGGCACATTAGCCAGGAGCTGGGTGGGAAGTAGAGCAGCCGGGACTCGAACCAGTGCCAGTATGGGATGCCGGTGTTGCAGGCAGCAGCTTAATCCATTGCACCACTGGACAGTCGTTTTTCATGTTTGGATGTCAGGGACAGTTTGACAACCTAGTTGCTGGAAATCACTGTTTCCTCAACGACTCAGTCTCTTATCTATCCCACAGGTGGCTTAGAAACCCTGACCAGGGACCACTGTGCTCCTGGTTTCCCTTAAGCAGAGGCTTCAGCTCAGTTCCCAGACCCCTAGTATTAAATTTCGGGGGCCAGAGGACACGGAGGGTGACTTGGGGCACCCATGCCTTCTTTAAACTCCTAGCAGGGCTCCTGTCTTCATCTGCAGGTTTCAGATCTGTCCCCTGAAGTCTGTCTTCCTCTACTCTTCTCCCTACCCTTGGTCCTCTTCCCTCCCTCAGTCGCCCAGTTCTGAACTGATATTTTCACCAAAAATGGTCTTACAAGTTGCACTTGGGAGAGATTCTTGTGAAGTTCTCAGGAAGCTGGCGTGTTGGTTGAATTCACAAGGATAGTGAGAACCTGGTGTTGGCAGAATTCTTTATCACAGTGTAAACCAGCCACCTCCACCCCATTCTAGAGCCAGTTGTTAGGCACCTGTCAGCACACCATTGCCCACCTCTTTATGACGTGATTTTCTCTCGTCTTGTCTCCCTTAGCCTCGGTATGACTTTAATTCAGAAATCACCACTCCAGCTCCCCATGGCATCAAAGAACACTTGCACTTGAAAAATAAAATGCCTACCCACCTCACCCCCAGCTTTGTAGTGTACTGGGTTAAGCTACTGCCTACCATGTATAATGCCAGCATCCCAGTACAGGTCTTGGCTGCTCCACTTCAGATCCAGCTCCCTGCTAATGCGCCTGGGGAAGCAGTGGAAGATGGCTGGAGTGCTTGGTCCCCTGCACCCACATGGGAGACCAGGAAGAAGCTCCTGGATCCTGGCTTCAGCCTGGCTCAGTCCTGGTTGTTGTGGCCATTTGAAGAATGAACCGGAGGATGGAAGATAAGAAATAAATCTTAGAAAGAAAGAGAGAGAGAAAGAGAGAAAGAGAGAGAGAAAGAGAGAAAGAGAGAGAGAAAGAGAGAAAGAGAGAAAGAAAGAAAGAAAGAGAGAGAGAGAAAATGGTTACGAGCAAGTGGCTTTGCCTACCTAAGCCATCACTTATCTCTAAAGGGGTGATGATGATGTCTTCCTGGTAGATTGTGGTGGGTTGAGACAAGATCATGCACATTGGTGTTTAGAGAAGACTTAGTTCTTGTTGGTCTTGGGCTACTCACTCATCCACTGAGAGTTTTTGGATGTGTCATTCTTTGAAAAGCTGGCACTAATGTTTCATCAGTGAAATACTTCAAGTCAGAAAAATTGTGGGGATTTGGAGGGGAGAAGTACTGGGTATTTTTACTATATTATTATTTTAATTGTATTTATGGGGTAGAGTGCTAATTCAATTTCCTTAAACATTAAAGCATTTAAACTTTTATTTATTTTCATTTTTTTTTTTATTTGAAGGCAGAGAGATACAGGCAGAAACAGAGTCCTTCTGTCAACTGGTTCATTCTCTAAATGCCCGCAATAGCCAAGGTTGGGCCAGGCTGAAGCCGGGAACCAGAAATTCAACCTGGGCCTCCCCCGTGAATGTCAGGGACCCAAGTACTCTCGTCATCACCTTCTACCTTCCAGAGTGTACAAGAGCAGGAAGCTGGATCAGAAGCAGAGCCAGGAGTTGAACCAGGCATTCCAATGTAGGCATCCCAAGCAGTGTCTCAACCACTGTGCCAAACCCCTGCCCCTTAATTATTTCTTATCAACATTTAATAACTACACGTAATTCTGGGGCACAGTGTGATATTTCAATAAATATGTACAATGTGTACTGATCAAATCAAGATTGTTAACGTTTCCATCTTATCAATACAGGGCATTTCATGTTCCTCTCTCCTACTCATAAAATATATTTATAATAAGCTATTGTGAAATATTGTCAGATCACTGAGCTGTAGAACAGAAACACTGTTTTGATGGTGGGAAAATCTCGCATTAATCCACACTTTTTTTTTTTATCTGTAATGAAATGTGAAAATCTGGTCTTTTGCTGCCATGCTAGGCCCTGAGAGGCCTGGGACGATTCTATGTTGACCTCTTTTCGCTTGGACAAAGCTATTCTTCTGAGAGTTCCCACCCACCATTCGGCTGTATTCAACTTTGCCTTAGTTTCCCAAGACCTGCTTTCCTACGTGCTGACGTCATTGTGTATTGAGGTCTCTTATGAGCAGGTGGAGCAAAACCTGTTGGATTGCCTTTAGCTCCTCTTCCCCAGAGTCTGAGCCGTGCATCCCATCTTAGGCGTCATCTGCCATGGATTAGGGCTGTTAAAAGGTTTGCCCAATGGAATTCATATCTGAATCTTCCTGCAAGATCAATTTGACGAGATTAATTATCTCTGCTTTAAAAAAAGCATATTTTAATGGCTAATATAGATCTCAAGAAATGCAAAGCATAAAATAAAAGGATGAAATAGAGACTATTTGTTTCAATTTGAGAAATGCCAAGGTCACTCTTGCTTCTCTGCAGTGCCTGTGCATCATTTCAATTTAAAGTTAGGTTAACCGAGGTATAATTCACTTGTAGTCAAATTTGCCTACGTTAGTGTGCAGTTCCATGAGTTCTGACACATGTGTATGTTGTGTAACTACCATCACAATCAAGAAACAGAACATTCCTATTCCTTTTTTTTTAACATTTATTTTATTTGAAAGCCAGTTAGAGAGAGAGAGAAAGAGGGAGAGAGAGAGAGAGAAGGAGGGAGAGACAGAGAGAACCATCTTCCATCTGCTGGTTCACTTCCCAAATGGCCACAACAGCTGGAGTTGGGACAGTCCAAAGCCAGGAACCAGGAGCTTCTTCTGGATCTCCCTTATGGGTGCAGGTGCCTGAGAACTTGGGCCAGCTTCTGCTGCTTTCCCAAGTGCATTAGAAGGGAGCTGGATCAGAAGTTGGAAAGATGGGACTCGAACTGGCACCCATATGGGATGCTGGCTGCAGGCAGCAGCTTAACCTGCTACGCCTCAGCACTCCCACCCCTACTCCTTTTCCAAACTCTCTAGGACTCACTGTTGCTCACATTCCCCCAACTCTGGGCCCTGGCGACCACTGATCTATTTGCTGTCCATACAGTTTTGCCTTTTGCAGAAAGTGACATTAACAGGAATCATACAATATATAGTCTTTTGAGTCTGGCTTCTTCTAGGTAGTTAATGCACTTGGGACATAGGCTTGTCTTGCTTGTCTTAGTGGCTCGTCTCTTTCTCTTGCTGGAGAGTATTCCATTATTTCCACTGTGTCTGTATCCTTTGGCAGTTGAAGGACATTTGGCTTGTTTCCAGCTTTTGGCAGTGGGGAGTAAAGCTGCTATAAATATCTGTCTATGGAGTTTTTTATGAACGTAGGTTTTCGTGTCTCTTGAGTAAACTCTATGGACCATTTTCTTCGCCTACCAAACTCCAGGGGCTCTGTCAGTATCCTCAGAAATCACCATCCTGGGGAGTTGGTGCAGTTTTTACTTCCAGCAGATAGGAGTGAGCGCTGGAGCTGGAGAATAGTTTCAGTGTTTAAGTCTCTAGACAACTGACACTCCCCAATCTGGAGAGAGGGAAATAAACAAGAAGTAGAGAAATAGATGAGTGGAAGACGGAGGGCGAAGCTGGGAAAAATAAGGCGAGTAAGCACGAGGCAGGGCTCTGTGTCAGGTGCTGTAATTAAGGGCTGCTTCTTAATTAGCAGCCCAGCTGCCTATAAAATTGAATTGTGCTTCTCTGCTTATAAACTGGAATCATGACTCACTGAGTTATGATTTGCTTAAATCCACTCTTGCCATTTGTGCGTAGGAGCTGATGTATTGCAGCTGATATCTGGACTAAAGTGAGATGATTAGGAGCTCTCTGGTCATCAGAGATTTCTATTAATAATTCTATTTGAATAACAATCATAGCTAACACTCACTGAGCGCTCGCCGTGTGCCCAATCCTGTTCTAAGGACTTTCCATATGCTAACTCATTTAATCCTCCCGACAGCCCAAAGCTAGTGGCAATTTTCTCCACTTTACAGATTTTACAGACTCTGAGGCACAGAGAGGTTAAGGACAGTCGGCAAGCTGAGAAGCTGGGGTGCAAACACAGGCCATCTGGCTCGCGAGCCCAGTTGTTTCCCTGCCAGGCTCTCCTGCCCCTAGACCCTTGCCGCTACGAACTCAACATTCGGCCTCTTTTGTTGAGTCTACACTGGCCTGACAAGTGTGGCTTCTTCTTATCCCTATTTTTCAGATGAGGGAATTGAGACTCAGGGAAATTAATTGGGGAGGTCAAGGTCGCCTGGCTGATGGGCTGTGGAGTTGGGAGGAGAATCCCAGTGAGTTCATACATTCTCCACCACCTTTCCCTGCCTCTAATCAAAAGTACTTGGTTTGCCTTGGACTTGACCTAAGTCGAGAAGCTGTCGCAGACATGAAATGAAGATGAATTTGCCTGGGTCTCTGCTAACCTCGCTGCCCGGGGCTCAGCAGGCGTTGCCTGAATGTTCCTACGGGAGCTCCACGCAGCCTTCTGGCCCCCCAAAGGATCTCTATGGGGACCGGGAGGAGGTGTCCTGTGGAAACACGCTGTTTTTTTTTTTTTTACCATGCCTCTTCTCCAACAGCAAACTCCCTTAGGAGAGCTGGGAAAGACACAAATAAATACCTGCTAAGGCTGTACATATGCCCTTCCACGTTCACTGGACTCCAGTTTCCTTAATGGGCCGCTCATTCTGGTCACTGTGCTTGCTCTAATTAGTTTTTCATCACGTGGTCGTGGTCGTGGCCTCTTGAGGCAGAGAGGCTGAAAGGCTGAACTGTGGGTGTGACTCTGCAACCAGAAACAAGGCCGGGATTCCCTTGGCTATGTTCCCGTGGTGGAGGTAAGGAGCAGCTCTGTCCTTATCCATCTTACCTTCCAAGCCAACACCCTGGCGCGGGCGAGGCACAGATTTTGTCATGATCATCATTGTTGTGTTACTAGTCAACGCCGATCACTTTCTTTGTGCTGGCTCTGTGGTCAGTCCTTTGGGATGATTGCTATCCCTAGTTCTCACCCGAAACCTTGGGTGCATGTCCGGCTCCCTACTGAATCTGGGGAATTCGCCTTGGATTTGGATTTCTATCCCCAGGATAGTCAAGTAGAAGACACGGCCATAGACATAAGCAATGCATGGTGCACTCTGAGAGCAGGACAATGGTTATAACGCTAAGAATTACCATGGAAAAATACATCACGGTCCCTGGTCTGTGCTGAATCCTGCATGTGTTTATATGCTTCTTTAAGCTCAGTGAAATTTCTGGTGCTGTAGCAGTTATCTGCTATCATAATAAAGATGGGTAACAACCATACAGCCTTAGTGGCGTGCAACATTTAATTTTGCTCACAAGCCTTTGTACTGGCTGGGCGCTTCTGTCTGGCCCTGGCTGGTCGCAAGGAAACAGTCTGGTTCTGTTTTGTGACATCTGCTCTCCTCCAGCAGCCTGACTCTGGCTGGTTCTCCCGGCAGGGACAAGGAGCCCCAGGGTGGGCACAAAGCTCTAGAGGCCGTGACTCGCAAGTGGCACACCGTCATCTGGCTGCATTTGCATCTGGCCACAGCGAATGTTCAAGGGTGATCCAGATTTAGAGAATGGGAATTAGACATGGCTGCTTATGAGGGGAACGGCGAAACCTCACTATAAAGTGCCCGGATGCCCGAAGGACGAAGAATTGCCACCATTTTTGCAGTCTGCCATAGGAACTATCATCCCCGTTTTACAGTTGAGGAGACCAAGGCTCAAGGAGATGCCTGTACTCATACAGAAATCCCGACAATACAGGCAAAAGGGCTGTGGGATTGCAGACACTGGTGTTTTTTTTTGTTTGTTTGTTTTTTTTTTTGTTTTTGACAGGCAGAGTGGACAGTGAGAGAGAGAGAGAGACAGAGAGAAAGGTCTTCCTTTTGCTGTTGGTTCACCCTCCAATGGCCGCCGCGGCCGGCACGCTGTGGCTGGTGCACTGCGCTGATCCGATGGCACAAGCCAGCTGCTTCTCCTGGTCTCCCATGGGGTGCAGGGCCCAAGCACCTGGGCCATCCTCCACTGCACTCCCGGGCCACAGCAGAGAGCTGGCCTGGAAGAGGGGCAACCGGGACAGAATCCGGTGCCCCGACCGGGACTAGAACCCGGTGTGCCGGCGCCGCAAGGTGGAGAATTAGCCTAGTGAGCCGCGGCGCCGGCACACGGGTGCTTTTATAGAAGAGCTTCTTTTATGTGGGGGAAGAGTGGGGTGAGCTGGTTCGGGCTCTGTCTGCCGCAGATGCTCTGGTGCCTTGTCCCAGCATCATACCAGGATCGGGCCAGAGCTCGCCGGCAGCGGCCGTGGGCAGCTCCCACGTCCTGCCAGCTTCTAGCCTCAAGGCACCCTCGCTCCTCTGCCTCTGGCTTTCTCCAGCGCTGTCAAGCTTTGCTCAGTCTGCTCCCAGGGCAGCCAACGCGAGTCCTTCAGCTATGGTGGTAGAGGAGCTGTGGTACCAATGAATGCCTCAGTTTCCCTGTTCCCTGTTCCACGGTAGAACAGCTCTGTAGCACATTTTACTGGTTTCCTCGAAACATCCCCAGGTGACTGTCAGTGGTAACAAGTTCATTAACACACATCTTGCTCCTTCAAGGAAGCCACCGACACCCAAGTCCTTGCTGCCAGGTCTGCTTTCATAGGAAATCAAGAAGTCTGGAAGAGTGGCTGGGAGATTGGCAGGCAGGGGGAGGCTGGGGAACAGTTGCAGGTAGAAGATCATTTGGATACGAGAGGACATTTTTTTCAAAATTTTCCTTGGGCAATTAATACTATACTTGTGCTTGGGTCAGTGTTTTGTATTCCTTTCACATTGTTTATTTATTCTATTTTTTTTTAAATTGTTTATTTGGAAGGCAGAGTTAGAGAGAGAGAGAGAGTGAGCGATCATCTATCTGCTAGTT